TTCATTAAAGGATACTGTAGTAAGTTGGGAAAAAATTAAAAAATGGCTGAAATCATGTGCTAACCAAACCTAAAAAATCCTGACCTAACCTATATCTAGAAAACTAAGCATTTACACAAAAACGTGAATAAAACTGAAAGTAATCAATGTACAAAACTGTCTCAAAACACCCTGATAATTACCTAACCACATCCCTCATAATTACCAAACTGCTGATGGCCACTACATCTGCCACATCACAGCTGATATAAATAATAAATAAATAATAATAATAAACGGTTTATTAATAGAGTTGCAGCCGGTGGCTGAAAATATACAGACTTACATTTGATTTAGACATACCGACATAATATGCGTTGAATACATTTACAGGGCTGTACAGTACATAAATCAGGAGTTGTTTATTATTTTGACAATAGATGGGATGGTGCTGTTCTTATATCTATCGGTGCGAGCTCTTATGGGCTGAATTTTGTTGTTGTGGCGGACTGCACGAGGTGGGTGGGGGGCTGCCGGTGGCAGGTGGGGGGCTGCCGGTGGCAGGTGGGGGCTGCCGGTGGCAGGTGGCGGCGATGACGAGGGTGGTGCATTGGTTGGCTGCCAAACCTTTCCAGTGCTTGGTGGTGGAGGTCACTGAGGGATAGCGGCTGTAAGAAGGCTATCTTAACTTGCCTATATCTCAAAAACTAAACATTTGTCCAAGAAAATAAATAGGAGTGAAAGTATAATAGCCAATAGTATTTGACATTGTTTGCATGTGTTGTTGTCTATGCTGTTTGCTAACAACCAACCCACTCGGTCCGAGCATTCTCTCACATCCACGAAAAACTTAAAATTACACCAGACATTTCAAGAATGTTTCTTTCATTGGTACCAGGTAACCAGGTATCAAAATAAGTACTTCCTGTTTGTGCAGTGGATATTTTGCCATGACCGGCTAAGTTCTTACTAACACTATTATACTGTGAGTGTACTCTGATTGGCTAATTGTCCATTACTGGCGAACAATGCGAGAACTATAGGCTAATATCAAGGACTTCACAGCCAGTGTGTTATTTGTTTTGATGTTTAACTTCTTACTATATTTTCATCAGTGAGTTCTGATATAATCATCATTTTTATGAAAACAGCTTCGTTTGGTAGATAATTAGATGAATAGGCGCGCATTACTTTGTCAGGCACACACTTTCTCTGCGGCGGTACACAGCTAATCATCTCCATTCGCCAGTGTGTGTTTAAGAGCCACACAGACTGGGAGGCTGCTCTCACATACACAATTTTTTTTAAATTATACATCATAATAAATTTTTTTCTGGTTAATATGCCGGTAAGTCTGGAGAGTTGAGCCTCACGGCTGGGAAGTTAGGTAAGGTTAGGTAGGTTTCTTTGGTTAGGTTGGTGAGGTTTTCTAACAACGCTTCTACCATTTGTTTTTCTTATCGACTAATGTTAGGTTAGGTTTAATTTAGAAATAACCCCTTTTTAATAAATTTTCCATAATTTTCATAATTATGACAGTGTCCACTATAAAAAAACAGTGAAATTTCGGCATTTTTAAATTTGTTTTCTATGAAAAATCAGCGGCTGCGAAGTTCTATATAATTACCAAACTATATTTGACCGTGATTCTGGCGGTATTTGGCATTTATTTCACAAACTTTACGCTGCCAGTCAATCACCCTACTTTTTTTCAGGTGCAAGATGTACCGGTAACCTGGTTCCTAACCTAACACCATTTTTCAATCTACATTGTGGTCACTTATCGTTCGCACGTTGTTTGCCGGTAATGGACGATTAGCCAATAAGAACACACTCACAGTAAAATAGCATTAGGAGGAACTTAACCAGTCACTGCAAAATATCCACTACATAAATGAAAGTCAGATTCATTTAAATCAACACAACATACACTAGAAAAACCTATTTTTGTTAGTAGTTTCTGTGGTGTAACTAAAACGAATCCTTGCCATATTTATTTTTGTCTCTGATTTGATTTCCCATTTTGTACTTTACTGAATCTTTACCAAATAAGCAGATGTATGAAGGAAAATCAGATACTGTCCCTTTTTTGGTAAATTTGCAGTTTCAGCCCCAACTACTGTTCGACCATATTTTTTTTCCCATGGTATTTGGTCTGATTCATACGAATTTGACCTTCATTTCTGTCATACTAGAGAGGTTACTGAGTTTAACCCCGACAAATTGCTCTAACCGAGTTGGGGCTGAAACTGCGGTATTATTATTGCTTCGGTTATTCAGAAAATTTTAGGATTCACAGTGGATATTTTGCTGTGACCTGCAAAGTTCCTACAAATGATAATTTACTGTGAGTGCACTCTAATTGGCTAAATACTTTCTGTTTAATATGATGGGAGGTCTGCCCCCCTGGCTAGGAATTTAGGTAAGGTTAGGTAGGTTTCTTTGGTTGGTTAGGTCACGCTCTATTAAGTTCTAGTAAATGTTGCCTCTTTTATAATGATAAGAACATGTTGGGAAAAATGAACAAAATCGAACTACTCTTTCTGGTGGTAGCGGGGTTCTAAGGCATTACCGTATTTTTAACGGTTTTACAAGTTAGGTAAGGTTAGATAAGGTTTTCAAAGGCTTGTTTGGTGTTCTTTGTTGTATTTTACACCCCATTTGCCCTCTAGTGCCCACTTTGAACAACCAATATTGTTGGTAATTGGGGAGGTCTTATCAGTTAAAATACTTGAAAAATATAAATTTGTGCCAGAAACATAACAGAATATAGTTTTTTTTTTGCTTTCTCCCTATATAAATAGAAATATAAAATTCCATGTTCGACCTAAATTGAATCTTTACCTTTATTTTTGTTAGTTCTTTCCATGCAAAACAGAAATATGGTTAGGTATGTTTATAGCTACACAAAGAGTGACTTAAGGCGAAATAAATGCTAAATGCCGTCAGTCACTGTCAAATATAGTTCTTCCGTTGTTCATCAGTACTGGACAATTAGCCAATCACAGCGCACTCTCTGTTCAATAGCGTTAGTAGGAACTTAGCCAGTCACGGCAAAATATCCACTGCCTTCAGGATTTTAGGTTAGGGTAATTATTCATGACCAACCCGCGGCCAAAATTGATAGAAAACGATATTAAAACTCCGGATTTTCACTGTTTTTTATCGTGGACACTGTTGTAGTTTGTGCAAATGTGTTAAAAATGGTTATTTCTAAAATAAACGTAACTTAACCTTTAAGGTATGAAAAACAGACCTAACTAACCTAGCCAAACAATCCTATCTAACCTTACCTAACCTCCGCCCCCTGAACCCCCGGGTATATTAAACAGAAAGCACTTACTATGATATGGTGCAGTGATTTATTGTGATGGCAGGAAACGTCAAGCCACGGTCTGAAAGCACAGAAATTCCCTGCTGTTGTCTTTGAGCAATTAAAGGGTCTCGTTGTCTTTATCCCTAAATTCGCAAATTGCGTCCATATAAGACCGGTGACAACCTTCACACGTCATGCCGAAAATAAAACTGCCACAAACGCGGGGAAAAGCACCGCAACAGAGCGTGGCCTCATTATCGCCGGGAAGACAAATTAGTGCGCGCCTAGACGCCTAATTATCTAGAAAATGAAACATTTGCACAAGAAATGATTACCATATCAGAACTCACTGATGAAAATAAAGTAAGAAAATAAACAGTAATACAAATAACTCGTCCATGGGATAGTCCTACATATTAACCCAGGTTAGGTTTGTTAGGTTAGTTGAGTTGGGTCGGTTTGGTTAGGTTGAAATTATGTTTTTCCAGTATTATTTTACTTTAGGACATAGCACGCCCCAGTTATAAACTACTGAAACATTTAGATCTCACTATTCTGAGCATTTATACTAGTCGGAAATGGAAAATAGCTACACAATTGAATTTAATTGATTTTACGTACTTTTCAGTCTTCGTCTCTGCGAAGAAATGTTATCTGTGTGAAACCGAGTTAATTATGCATCACGCATGCGCATTATTGACTGATGTCATCCGGTCATGACCAATGACGTATCAATATCAAACGATTTTTTTTTTCAACCAATCACATTTTTATTTTTTCAAAGGAAGCAGCCTGGGTACATATTTGAATTTCAATGACCAGTCTGACAATGGCAGTGGTGGAGGTTGGGTGCGATTCATGCTCCTGCGATGATTTGTTTATTGCTGAGCTTTACGAGAAAGACGATCATTTTATCCAATTCTTACGTAATCACGGTGTTCTCCCACACTGTAAATTGCCTTGTAAATACAGAACCAGTGGTTCTGTAATCGTTCAAGGAGGCAAGTAAAGAGCAAGTAAAGGGAGGAGGTCAATGACTATTAACCTATCCCTGGTCCTTCCACTTCTAACCAAGGTATTGTACTTTCACACATGGCACGCCCCAAAGTTTTAAACTACTGAAACATTTAGGTTAGGTTAGGTTAGATGACTCGTTTTCGAGTTCTACCCTACCCAAAAACCCCGATTTCCCAGGCTCTCCCCCATTATTGTTGGAGGGAGTCGGGGTGGGGCAAAAACGAGCACTTTCCGACAAAATACACGGGAAAAACATATTGGTCAACCCCTAGGGACTCCTAAAGTAAAAATTTACCGTTTTTCCGATGGTTTTGATGTGTTTCGAACAACTTCCAAGTGAGTGCAAGACCGAAACCATAATTTTACCGAAACTGTAATAATACCATTTTTTACCCCAACCCTTTACAGAAGTTTATTTTCGCCACTGGTGTTCCCACGTCATGAAATATTACCATTGCTTGCTGCCCATACTGTCTGTGTAAATGCTAAAACAGTGTGAACTTTAATAAGCATTATATTAAATGTCTACAGTATCTGTACACACCTTCATTCTACTTACTCAGCTGCCAACACTCAACTTAAACACTGTAAAGTATAACAACAGTACCCCACGACATTACCAACTCTCTCTTACCGTAACTTACTCTACCAATAACAACTGTTACGATGAAAACTAAGAAATAATTACCTCGACCTGTAGTCCTCTATACACCTCTGACTCTGTTTTCTCTTGGCGCCAAACAAAAGCGCATACGATTACAAATACTCCTAATAAAAACTAATCACAAATTATCATTCAGTTTATGCTTTAATCTATTTTCGAAATATATTTTATTTCGTTTACAATTAAAACATATTAAAATGTAAAAATTATTATCAATCTATTTACCTATTACAACAAGCTGTGTGAAATATATCCCCGGCTTCGCTTCATGCAGTTTTAGTGCATCTTGTACACGACCATATTGTTTACAAACTTCAGAGATCATTAATGTATAATATTTCATTCTGTATAAATTGAAGCAAAGTTCATTAAAAAATGTAAATTAACTTCCATCTTCTTTTATGAAACATATTTTTTAGGATCATATTTGAAATTACTTTTTACATTTGTTGGTAGTAGGTGCCATACTAGGTAGTAGGAGGCCATCAAACAGGAAGGTTCTACCGCCTGGGAAGTGGGATGACCCTTCTGCCATATCTTTTTACTTTTACTTTTTTCCTCTTCACCACTGATCGGCTCGTTAGCCGCTTGGGCGATCGGTCACGTCACTGTTACTTTCCCTTTTCTTTTATCATCTTCAGTCTTCACCAAATGATCGACTCGTTAACCGCTTAGACGTTCGGTCACGTGTCTGTTACGCATTGTTGGCAAGTACTGGGCATGCACCGACTCCTGAATGTACCTGAATCTGCTCCAGTGTTGGTCAAGTCTGGTCATGAAAGAGCTCACACTCGGTGCCGTCACAACACTTTCTGGTAGATTGTTCCAAGAGTTCACAACTCTCACTCCGAAAAAGTTTGCCCTCACAGTTTTCTGGACTTGCTGCTTCTTCAATCTTGAGCTGTGACCCCTTGTGGGGCGAGCGTCCGCTAGCTCCAAGTAAGGACACTCGATTGAGTAGTGCCCCTTGAGATGCTTATACTGTATAAGCATCTCATGGGGCCTGAACTTGCCTAGCTAGGCAAGTTCAGGCGTTCCAATCTCTCAGGGTAGCTGAGGTGCCGAAGTGCAGGCACCAGTCTGGTGGCCCCCCTTTGAACATTTTCAACCAACTGACAGTCCCTAGTATATCTCGGGGACCAAACGGGGTGACAGTACTCCAGATGGGGAAGCAATTCACTCTTGAAGATCGTTACGAGGGACGGACCGTCTAGATATCTGAACGACCCTCTTATAAGACCCAATAATTTATTTGCCTGATTTACCTTCTTCTCGCAATGGCCCGAGAACTTCAGCTCATTGTTAACATACACACCTACAGTGTAGGTCCTTCTCACATTCATTCTCAAATAGTGCAGTTTCTTCATCCCGTTGGGGCATATGATACGCCTCCTTACCGTTGGTACGCCCCAGGTGCATCCTCTTACACTTCATTGTAATGAACATACTAGTTGTTCTTCTGATGAAGGCCAACTCTTTTTGTATTGTGACGGGATGCAATATGTTTTATAAGGAATAAATTAGTTAAGTCATGCTTGATGTTTCACCCTTCTTCCCACTCTCGATTTGGTCGATGAAAAACCCAACGCAATGCCTAGCTTACTCTGCCCTCTACCTAACGAGCTACATACTGTCCATGGGGGGGGGAGTCTGGTAGCAGCGACCTTCTAATTAAGAATAGAGATAAGTTATCCCCTCAGAATTAGTGACCCCCAGAATCGGGCAGTATAAATTGGTGTCTATAGCGGTGGGATTGTTTTTTAATCATTGATCAAATCCGGTGGAAGTGAAGCTGTGATTAAGATGCTGAGTAGACAAATTATTTTAATTGTGGATTTTCTGACATTAGAGTGATACTTACATGTGAATAACATTGATTGTGTACAGAAATGTCAGAAGAATTTTTTAAGGTTTAGACAGTACTAGAGTAGTATGTACCATTGATTTTTTTTTGGTGTGTTTTACCCAGTGTTAATGAGTATTAATAATTACAGAAGTTGTGGATTAACCTTGTTGGCGTTGAAGTAAGGGAGTCCACACTGTGTCTGAGAAGTGTCTCAAGTGGTTCACCTATGGTCGAGTGGTAGTATTTTTAGGACAAAATGGATGAGTCATTAGAACAGGAAAGTACCACAGTTGGTAACACATTGGTAGAGAGATTTGAACAGGCATGTCAGTCATCAACAGGCAACGGTCAGAGCTAGAGGAATTGCAGAAACAAATTAGAGACCTAAAACAAGACCTCTGGCATGCAAGTAACCCAGACACTGATCAAGACTAAGTTGTAAGAAATGTCACAACCCCAACTGCCCCACAGGCAGAAAGTTCCCAATTAGGGGGCGACACCACACACCCAAGTAGCCTTAAAGTTGATCCAGGGGTTCATCCCAAACTAACGGATCATATCAAGGTTAGCGATAGGGAATCATCTTTTTTCAGCCTTAATTATGTTAAAATGTTATCACTGGAAAAACTAACGGGGTTGAATTCTGGGATGAGTAAGTAAGGCTTGGGGATTGCTGGCCACTTCGCCTTTGGGCTATTTCGGCCGGAGCTGATGTCTTCTTTCTTCTTTTAGTCTTGGTCTTCTTTCTTGCTACAACTAATCTGATGTTCTTGTTTCTTCTTTTCTTGTTATTCTTGTGTTCTTCTTGTTTTTGGTATTTTGGTTTCTTCTTTCTTCTTGTTGTTTTATTTGGGATAAATTATGGTATGAGTGAGTGATATGATAGTGAGTTACTGACAGTCCAGATGAAATGGCCGGTCAGGTGACTAGTTTCTCTGTGATTTTTTTTATTGTCTTTTGTAGCCCGTGTCTTTTTGTTTGAATATGTGTTGGTGGGTGTCAGTTTTACTTGGTATATGTGCGTGTTGTATGTAATGGAAAGGTTGTGATATGTCTCTGATGTTGTATGTTTTAATTTTTGTTTTATTCATTTTTATTTTCTTTAGGGCATGGTTACATACATATTATAAAAAGAGTTCATGCGTGTGTCTTTCACAACATGCCGATAAGACGGGTCTCCTTGAGGAAGATTATTACAGCGTCACTTATGGTGACATCATCTTGCAATAGATTGGGTACAGTCAGCACGACGCCTCGCTCGGCAGCTAGGATCACCAGCTGCCGGCGCTCTGGTTCGTACTGGCTGCACTCAGTCAGAATGTGTCGAATGGAAATAAATTTGCTGCACGTGGCACAGATAGTTGGAAAGGAGTTGTCTAAATAAGCTTTTAGGTGGGTCAAATAGGTACAATTTAACCTTAGTCTGGCGAGAACCACCTCTTCCCTCCTATTCTTTCTGTATGCTGAAAGCCAGTTTCCTATGTTAGTCTTCCAGTTGTTGCGAAGATCTAACCTCGTCCAATCAAGTTGCCACTTCCCTGTTGTATATGTCTTCCCCAAGGAGAGACACGACTGACGCTCCCAGGGTACATTAGTTGACTCCCTGAGACCCACAGTCGCTTTTGCTAGTTTGTCTGCTTGTTCATTGCCCCGAATGTTGCAATGCCCAGGCACCCATATCAGCACAATATTCTTGGCACACTCATGTAGTTTATTAATAATGTTGCCCTGTATCTCATTGCTGGTAGTGTCACCACCTTGAATTGCTTTTAGAGCTGACATAGAATCTGAAATGATAGCAACATCATTGACATCGCCTGTTATTGCAATGTCAATGGCTCTACTTATTGCAAACATCTCTGCAGTGAATATGGTTGTATGCCGCGGCAGGCGGGAGCTCCACTCCCCGTCTCTGCTCCAGATACCGGCTCCAACGTTGTCGTCAGTCTTGGACCCATCTGTGTACACGTGAGTATAGGCGCTATATCCTTCCAGAAATTGATAGAAAAGTTGCTTCAGGAGCTCAGGATGAAGGTCATTCTTCCCTCCTGGAAGCCACGATGTTTCCACATTGAAGTTGGGGTTCTCCCATGGCGGACACAACGGTGGAACGTATCTATCAACGTCTTCGAAGTGGATACCAGCACCCTGGCACAAGGTGTGGAGGCGGACAACCGAGGACGGGGACCTACGCAGCTGCAGGAAACGGAATTTAGCAACAGCACACCAACCTGGGTGGCCTGTGCCGCGCCTCCTAGCCGCACTCAACCCGTACCTTAGCGTCAACATGTCCCTCCTGATGTGGAGTGGAGGGATATGGGCCTCCACCTCTAGTCTTTCTACACGTGTACACCTGTAAGCACCCAGACATAGACGAAGGCATTGGTTCTGTATTCTGGTCAGCTTTGCGAGTGTGGTGTCGCATGCAGAAGCATACAACTGGCATCCATAGTCAAGTTTCGATCTGATCAGGGTCTTATACACCACTAATAAAGATTTCCTATCGGCTCCCCATGTAGTACCTGATAAAACTTTCAGGATGTTTGTGACTTTAAGACATCTACTTTCAAGTTCGTTAATGTGGTTTTTCCACGTTAATTTCCGGTCAAAATGAACACCGAGAAATTTTACTGAAGTCTGAAATTTAATAGGAGTATCATTTAATTTTAATTCTGGATTATTAATGTTACGTTTCTTAGTGAAGACTACTCCTACTGTCTTCTCAACTGAAAACCTAAATCCCCATTGTATTGCCCACTGTTCAGCGGCTTTTAGGCCGGCCTGCACCCTTTGTGCAGATACTCTCTCGACCCGAGAGGAGCGCCAGATTGCGCAATCGTCAGCAAACAAGGAAAATTTGAGGTCACTTAAGCTGGGTGCTGGTGATAGGAAATCATTAATCATTATAAGAAATAATATTGGGCCCAAAACGCTGCCTTGTGGAACTCCGTTTTCTAGGACAAATGTGTCTGACTTTACGTTACCTTTTAATTTGACGGAAAAAGTTCTGTCTTGCAAAAAATTTCTAATGAAAATTGGCAAATTACCTCTCAGACCCAAGGCCTGGAGTTTCATCATGAGGCCAGTCCTCCATGTCATGTCGAAAGCTTTTTCTATGTCTAGGAATACTGCAATTAGTGTTTCTTTACTGCAAAGAGCTTTTGAGATGTCAGTTTCAAGACCTATTAAATGATCTAGTGTGCTTCTACCTTAGCGGAAACCACACTGTCGATCACTCAATAAGTTGTTAC